CAGGGCGGGGCGCGGGGCTCCATCCCGGGAGCTTTGGCCGCCCTCTCCAGCCCCGGGTGCCGTGACCGGTGCAGCGCGGCTCGGAACGGCCCGGCTCCGGCCAGCCCGGCTCCGGCCAGCCCGGCTCCGGCCAGCCCCCGCAGCAGCGGCTCAGGTAAGAGCGCTCGGTGCCTCCCCTGAGCCTCCGCGGGTTTGCCCGGGTGTCTCCTGGGCAGCGCTGGGGAAGGAGGAAGGAGGAGGGACACGCGTGTACCCCGAACGCGTCAGGGGATGGGTGCTGCCGGGAGCATGTCCTGATGCAAAGCCTTCCCGGTTTGGATGCTTGCCTCGGCGGGGAAGGAAAGGTACCTCCGCTTCTCTCCCCAGTGCGGGGGGAAGCCTGGCTAACAGCAGGCAGGGAGCAGGAGAGGCTTCTGAAATTCCTGTACGAGATGAAACCAGCATGATCCCTCCCGCCTCCTTTTAAAAAATTGCGTTTTGGCCTTCGGGACTTTGGTTGAAGGTTGGAAGTGTGGGGAGAATAACAAATCACTAATGCTGTCTCCATAAAAGCCAGGGAGGTTTAAGGTACAGTTTGCCCCTGCTGGCTGCAGTGCAGATAGAGAACACATCTGAACGTGTAGATTTAGGATGCTGCTACAGCAGTGACTCCCAGTTTCTTCCCTTCCTTGCCAGGTTTGGCACCGCTGTATTTTGTTTAGTTGCATGCCAGGGTATTTCACCTCTGTTCTTAGTGCTCTTCCAGGCTTAATGAGTCATTCCTGAGGAGTTTGGCCACATCCATGCGGTTTGCTGCAATCTCAGCAGCTTCCCAGCACCAGGACTCAGCTGACATAAAAGCAGTGTCACAGTGCATCCCTCACGGATGCCATTGGCTCTGAATCTGCACACTCATCTTTCCATAGCCCTGCAGCACCTGGACTGGACTTAGGGCAGCAGAGAGCTGTTTGGAGTTCAGAATTAGCACGTGGAGTTAGAGCAAACACTTCTGACTTCATTCCTCCAGTTATGAGGCCATAGACAATAGGATATTAGAGAAGATCAGCTGAGTTATTTTCAGTTATGTTCAGACCTTTACTTTATACAGGCTCCTGATTAAGTGCCAGCACTCTGAGGGAAAGACTGTCAGCTATAGAATGAACCACTGCAGAGGTACCTGGCAAGAAGCTGGAATATCTGAGTACTGCTTTGCAGCATTTGTTATCAGGGTTGTTCTTAAAGGCAGAACAAACACCCATGTGCCTTCCTCTGCAGAGGAAATCAGTACTAGGAAGCTGATTTTTGCAGCAGCAGAGATTCTGGAAGGATTGATTCTGGAAGGACTGATTCCAGCCTGGAAAATGAACAAACTCAGTGGTCAAATACATACATTTTGTGGGCAGATTTCATTCAGGGCTTTTACTTAGAATATAAAAATTGTAATCTGCTTCAGGATATTAATGTAATGAGGAGCAGGAGACCTTGAGGCTAGGAATCCAAATCATGCCTTCAAATAACATATTTATTTTCTCTTTTTTTTTTTTCCTAGTGCATCATTGTCTGGCATTGTTGAGGGTGGAAACCCTCACCATTCCTTTGCGCCCTCTGTCTCAGCCAGCTGTGCCCAGCCTGCCCCAGGGATGGAGTCCCTCCCTGAGGCAGTCCTGATCCGAATCCTGGCCTCCCTCCCTGCCGTGGAGCTGGTGCTGGTGTGCCGCCTGGTCTGCTGCCAGTGGAAGAACCTGGTTGATGGAGCTGCGCTTTGGATCCTCAAGTGTCAGCAGGAAGGCCTCACCAGAGCAGGGTCAGATGCAGAGAACTGGCAAAGCTTCTACTTCCTGAGTAAGAAAAGGAAGAATCTCATCAAGAACCCGTGTGGTGAAGGTGAGAGACATCACAACAAGCTTCAGGGTGTCAGAGAGGTGACCAGTCACTGAGAATTGTGTTTGGCTACTCTGTGAAAATAGATCTTAGCTGCTGTCAGGTTGCAGAATTTTCTCCCTGCCCAAGAGTCAAGTCACTCAATCCGTGCAGCCAAATCATTTAATGAGCACAAAGGCCCTTCATAATCAATGCCCTCTGCAAAGGCCTTTACATAACATCAACTTTATCTAACCTCTGCAAGGATCATGTTTGAGACACAAAGATGTCCTGTGTAGAAACCATCCAACACAGTAGTGGCTGTGGCATTTGTTTCTCTATTGCTTCTTGCTAAGCCATGACAGGAGAGATGAAGCCTTTCCCAGCTCAGGGGTGAGTCTGCCCTCAGCTCACCAAGCCCTTCAGGCTTCTTTCCTTGCAGCAGCTCAGGCCAGTCATGTTTTTACCCTCCTCACCTCAGCCCATGTTACAGACTGGGCACACACCCCACGTGCCATTATTCTGAATCTATGACCTTCACTTGCCAGAGCTATAAGCTGCTTAGCAATAAGCAGAAGTACCCAAGCCTCACAACCCAAACAGCAACAATTTCACACATCACAGACCAAAGCAGTATCAACACAGCTCCCCCATTTCGTTTACAAGTGACCTTCTGCAAGCTTTTCCAACATCCAGGTTTCTCTCTTGAAAACACTGATGTTTAAGGTCTTTGCTTCAGAAAATACCACTCAGTGCTTTATAAAACTTAGAAATAAAGCAATCAGCATCTGTCCCCAGAGTCTTTGTGTGCTGTGACACTGAAAATGGTGACACTGTTCAGAATACCTAAATTCTCTCCCTGTAGTACTTCTACCCCCCGTACACAGCCCCTTGCTGGGGAATGTTAAAGTTTGGAGTGATTAGGCTCAGTCAGACTAAAGGTTTTTGCCTGACCTCTACTTAACAAACATATCCATAGTCTACGTATCAAATCAGTGCTGTGTTTAATATCAAACTTTCTCAAGGCAGAGGAAGGTTCCTTGGGAGATGGTCAAGTTCCCCACATCCACAGGACTCATCCAAGTTTCTTTCCTGCCATTTGCAGAAGGCTTGGAGCACTGGGGAGAGGTAGAGAATGGAGGTGATGGCTGGAAAATTGAAGAGCTCCCAGGGGACTTTGGAAAAGAATTTCCTAGTGAAGAAGTCCATAAATACTTTGTCACATCTTATGAGTAAGGCTGCTTTCTTCTCTTACTCAGGAAAGGGGGCATTTTTGGTTCTCCCAGGAGAGACAGTGATATCATTGGCATCTTGTGTTTCAGGTGGTGTCGAAAGGCTCAGGTCATTGACCTCAGGGCTGAGGGCTACTGGGAAGAGCTGATGGACACAACCCAGCCTAAAATCATGGTAAGAGACTGGTAAGTATTAAGGAAGGCTCTGAGGACAGGCAGAGGGTTAAGTAAGATAAGGAAGAGAGGGCAGGCATAGACCTTATTTAGATATTGGGCCTTAAAACCTCATCTGCCAGGATCCTGGATGTGGGACAGGGCTCACAGGCAGTTCACAGGCTCTGAACTGTTGGAGCACATGAACTCCAAGCCCAGGTTCCTGTGGTCAGTGAGGGGAGGTGGTGGGCTGGGCTAAGAACCATTGCAGATTTCCATCTCCAAGCAAGGCCTCAGTGACTTGGTGAGCATGGTGGAGCCTTTGCAGAGCTCTCAGAGGTAATGGCAACACCTTGGCTCTCCTTGCAGGTATGCAGGACGCAGTGATGCTGGCTGCCTCTATGAGCTGTGTGTGAAGCTGCTCTCTGAGAATGAGGATGTGCTGGCTGAGTACAAAAGTGACACTGTCACCATCCCTGAGGGAAATGATGCCAACTGGACTGAGGTGAGTTACAGGTATGGGCTCAGCAGGTGACAACCAACCTACAAAAGTGACACTGTCACCATCCCTGAGGGAAATGATGCCAGCTGGACTGAGGTGAGTTACAGGGCTCAGCAGGTGACACCCAACGTACATGAATCAGGAATATTTTTAAGCAGAAGAATTCTCCAAGAGGAGGAGAAAGCTCTGTCATGTGTTCTCTGGAGCCATGATCCTATGATTGAAAAAGGAAAAGTGAAAGCAGAAGAATTCTCCAAGAGGAGGAGAAAGCTCTGTCATGTGTTCTCTGGAGCCATGATCCTATGATTGAAAAAGAAAAAAGGGAGGCTGCTTTACAGGAAACTTGCTGAGTCACCACTACCAGGTGTAAGGAGGTGTCACAGAATCACAAAATCACAAGGTTGGAAGAGACCTTCAAGATCGAGTCCAACCTGTTCCCTGATGTCTCAACTCAACCCTGCCACATCCAGGCTTTGTTAAACACACCCAGGGATGGTGACTGCACCACCTCCCCGGGCAGCCATTCCAGTACTTTATCACCCTTTGTGTGAAAATCTTTTTCCTAATATCCAACCTATATTTCCCTTGAAGCAGCTTGAGGCTGTGACCTCTGGTTCTGTCAGTTCTGCAGGAAGAGCCCAGCCCAGCTGAGCACAGGCACCTTTCAGGAGCTGTGCAGAGTGATAAGGTCACCCCTGAGTCTCCTTTTCTCCAGCTGAGCACCCCCAGCTCCCTCAGTGGTTCCTCACAGGGTTTGTGTTCCCAGCCCCTCTCCAGCCTCGTTGCCCCCTCTGGATGTGCTGAAGCATCTCAGTGTCTTTCCTAGACTGGGGGCCCCAGAACTGGACACAGAATGTCCAGCTGGGAGTGATTCGGTGGCCTCGGAACAATGGGATCAAAGCTTCTCCCACTGTAACCCATGCTGGTAGCTCTGACTGTGGCCAGTGGGGCTGAAGGCTCTGTGCACTGAACAGCAGTAGGTGTGTGGTGGTTTGACACTTACTAACAACTGTTTTTGTCTCTTGTCCCAAAGATCTCTCACACCTTTTCCAGCTACGGGCCCGGGGTGCGCTTTGTGCGCTTTGAGCACGGTGGCCAGGACACGCTGTTCTGGAAGGGCTGGTACGGCGTCCGTGTCACCCACAGCAGCGTGACAGTAGAGCCATAGCCCTGCTCAACCACCGTCTGCATGCTGGACTTGACTTCCCTCAGGGCATCCCTAGCCTTTGGATGGTTTCTGCATGGTGCTGCTGCTGGCTATAGAGCAAATGGCCTTTCTGCGTAGGATGCCAGGAGCCACCACCCATCCTTCCTCAGGGGGACTGTGCAAAGAATGTGAATGAATTTGTGAATGCACCACAAGACTCAGCCTCACCACGTGCACTGGTGTTCTCTGTCAGACAGGAGATCACCTAAAAATCCTGCAGACTTCCTCTCTTAGTCTCTAATCCCTGGCACCCAGCCTGAGTCAGCTGTCTCTCCTGCCTGCTTCCCTGACTTGGGCACTCCTTAACTTGAAGGGATACTTTAAGTATATTTTCTGGAAGGTAGAGTGGGAAGAAAAGAATAAAGAAAACCACAGACCCTGTGTCTCAAAACATACCAGGGAAACCCTGTCCCCAACTGTTTCCATGACCTGCAGTGAGAACCTTGGCTTCTTCCATTTATCAAAAGGTTCTTTTATTCTTTACCACAGAGGGGCTCTAGCTTGGCTGTCAATACTGTTAGTTCAATTTTTAGTGATAATGCAAAGCAAGAGAGGTTGAATCCTTTTCTCTTACACTGTTCCCAGCATCCATTTATCAAGGGAAATGTTGGAAAGAGAAACATGTCTGGTGTCCAGCCCTGGGGCTGCATTTGGCTCCCTCAGATAGATGGCATCCAAGAGTAATTGCTGGCAGTGAGAGAGATGACAGCAACTTCGGGAAGTGGGTTAGAAAACATTTGGGATGGGGTCCAGAAACAAATGAAAACAAACTAATTTACCCCTTCCCGGCCTCTGCAAGCTGCTTGCAACAAGCATCCTGGTCATCCAGTGTGACTCTGCTGGCAGGACACAGAGAGCTGCTGGCTGCTCCACCTCTCTGACCGTGTCTGCAGGTACAGTCTGCCTCTGCCGTGTGCTTGCTGACAAGACAGCACTTCAGTCTCCCACCTGAGCTTCTTGATATCACTCAGGGCTGTGTGCCCCCTCCTGAACAGACCCCTAAGCTTTCCTGAACCAAGACTGTCCCTGCTATTATTCCACTCAGAAGAGCATCCCCTAACAGAGCTGGTGTTGTCTAAAGAAAGTCTATTTTTGTGTCCATGTGTCTTCCCTCCCTGGGCTGCCATTTGAGTGCCTCTTGACACATGTAGTGACTGCAGCCAAAGGAAGGAGCTTCCCACCTGGACCCTGTGCATGCTGCTTCCTCAGGCTTTCTGCACAACTGCACCTGGGTGCCACACACACAGAGTCCAGGCAAGCATAATAAAGTGACACAATTGTGTGTGGATTTCTTCTTTTGTACTGGGTATTTGTCCCCTGTGCTCAAGCATCTGCCTTCTGATCATGTGGAGCTTTCCAAAAGCAGCAGTCACTGCTGTGTGTAATACCATGGGTGTCCCTGAGGGAGGTCCCTGCTCTGTTCCCCTGGGCCCATGGGAGGCACTTGATGTGCAGTGGGTCTGCAGTGTAACAGCAAGCAGAGGTGCATTTCAAACAGAGTGGGAATTCATTCAAGGCACGGAGAAGGTACAGGAAGGCTTCTACAGAGCCCAGCCCTGCTGCACACCTTCCAGGTCATTTGTCACTAGCTCTGCTGTGAGTTCAACCTCAGTTCTGGCCCAGGAGGCACCAGAATCAGTTCAGAATGTAATTGTTTCCCTTCCCTTACCCCTGCACACACTGTCATGCAGTGCTGCTTTACCCACCCTTAGCCTTTAGTGCAACTCTTAGTTAATAATCAGCTCATTGCCAACTCCCTGCCCCACAGAAGAAACAATCTCCATTTGTCCCTAAGGAATCAGTGTAGTGAGGGAATCAATATTTCACACCTTATTGCAATTGTTAGACTGAACCTCTCCTAAGTCACCATCCTACAGCCAGGATAAACCTCAGGATAAAGCCTTCAGATACTGTGGCCCTTGTACATATGGGGTAGGACCATGGTCCCCCCTTTGGCTTTATCTGGGCTGAAGCACCAAACTCACACAGCCTCCCCAGCAGCTCTGTTAAAATGAACCCAGCTGCCTGAGCTCTGTTCTCCCAGCACCCCCTCTTTATGCTAGTACCCCCCTGTCCTGGTTTAGGGCAAATTTGGGAGAAAACCTCCAAAGGGGGCCCCCCCAGAAAGAAAACCCACACGGACCCTCCCCATAACCGCTTCGGGAGGGATTCCTCGGAGAGAAGTGGAAAGAACCTGTTTATTTAACAGGCAAAGCACCTCCAGCACACAAAATGAACAATACCAGGTGACAACAGTCTTTCACCACTCTGAAAAAGATGGCAAATTCAGAAAGTCTCTCCTGGCAGTGGTCACTCTGTTATTGGTCCCTCCGGTGCTGGGGGTGGCTGCTGCAGCCACAAGATGAAAACTCTCGGTGTTTCCCAGGTCCCAGTCCGGAGCAGGCTCGAGTGGTTCCAAGAAAAGCAAAGAAAAACAGTCCAGGGAAAACTCGGACTGCCTAGGCAGACTAACTAACAAGCAGGAGCAAAAGCAAGAGCAAAGCAGGAGCAAAGCAGGAGCAAGAACAAAGTGAAAACCAGAGCAAAAAGCAAAAGCCGCACTATGAACTGCCCCGTCTGTGTCCCGCCAGCCGGGGGGGAGTGAGCAGGCTGATAACAAAACAAAACAAAACAAAACTTTTCAGAGCCAGTCTTGAAGGCACAGAACATAATATCCAGCATAAACAGAACACACAATTGGGGATACAAGCATCATAACCCTAGGATATCCTCGTGTTCACATTTGCTGTCAGGGCCACCTGCAAAGCTCGTCCTGACCTTCCCACTCCCCTCCAAGAGGTGTTTTCCCAGACACTCAGTGCCTGCAGCCTCACTGCAGAGAGCAGCCACCTCTGCTTCACAGAGCTGCTCACAAAAGCCAGGGCTGACCTCAGGGGAGCAATTACTCCTCACATTCAGCCATGCCAGTACTAGATTCCCAAAGCAAGTGTCTGGGCACATGGGGAAAAAAAAAAAAAAAGTCTTGCTCATGTTCATGTTGTATTTTTTTATTTTGTTCCAAATGCCTTTTGAATTTTGATCAAACACTGTAAGTCTGAACACACTGCACCGTCCATGTACACCCAGTTCCAAGTGATGTCAATTCACCCAGAGGCAGACAGAGTGCAGGAGGGTGATGGCTTCTCACCCCTTACAGACTTCATGGAAATTGAGATGCAATTTCACAGGGTTACAGAAACTAAGTGTAACTGTGGCAAAAGGCCTTACCTGTATTAAATCTCCCAGCTGCTGTAGGGCTCTGTCACCCACCATTTCAAGGTGACTTCTGCTTTCTGCTGTGCCAACACCAGCAAGCAGCTGTGTGACACTACACAGTAGCTTCTGGGGACACTGGTGACCAATGTAGATGTGTGCTGTACACACAGAAAGAGGTCTGCCCAAGTGGTTTATATCAGATATTTGCATCCCCCAAACACAGGGTATTTAGAAATCTGACCATTAAAACACAAAGATTGATTCTTGCTGAAACATTCATGATAAAGAAAGAAAAAAAAATACCAAAAAGCCAAAACCACATAAAAGGGTCCCTCCCAGTCTTGGTCATGGCAGCAAGAGCTGCAGAAAGGGCTCTTGTTCTTTTGCACATCATGCCCACAAGGCACCCAGCAGTGCTGAGCTGTGCTGAACACAGAAGTGTTTTCCAGACACCCACAGGGGAATGGAAAGGTGGATGATGGCACTGGAGAGTTTAGGAAAGGAGCCTTTCCCTCTCTGCCAAGACACCACATGGAATCTCTTACCCCAACTGCTTTAACACTCAGAGGCACCACAAGAAGCCCTAGAGCAGCACCAAACCCTGTCCTGCTCTTACCAGCTGGCACCTGAAGTCCTGGGTAGCTGATTCTCCTTGGTGTCTGCTGTACCACTGTAATTTTCTTTTCTACAAAGTGCACCACAGTTAATCTTGGATATAAATGTCATTATAGTTAAAAGGAGTTTGTTAGTTTGTTTTCTGGTTTGGGTTTTTTCCCTCTCCTTGGGGTTTTTAGGTGTTTTTGTTGTTGTTGGTTTTGGTTGAGGTTTTTTTTTTTTGTGTTGGTTTTGTCACACGTTTTTTTTGTTTGTTTGTTTGTTTGTTTGTTCTTTTTTTTTTTTTTGGGGGGGTTTTTTTTTTTTTTTTTTGGTTTTGTTTTGGGGGATTTTAGGTGTTTTGGTTTTTCGTTGGTTGGTTGGCTGGTTGATTTTTTTCCGTATTAACTTCTACAGCAAATCTCTTGCAGAGGAGCAGCACAGAACAATATGGGGTCCTGGCAAGGAAGCACTATCATACATCTCCTGTAAAGTCTAATAGAATTTTTCTATATGAAACATTTATTACTACCCACCTGGGGGGATGTGGACAGATTGAGGAGTTTTCTCCCCCACTAGGCAATTTAAGACTGGGGATGGGACACTTGGGGCAGAGAATAAAAGTAATCTATCTGACAATTCCCTGTTGCTAGCAGCCCAGCTGTTCTAGCCAGTTGTAAAAGGGAGGGTAGTTTAGAAACTTGATTCCTTCTAAATCAGAGGCTGGGAACAGCACTTCTGAAAGACAGGACAGCAGAGCATCAACTACTGCAGCAGAGAAATTGTAGCAGAGATTAGCAGATTGACAGATTATTCTGAGTTGGCAGGGACCCAAAATGATCACTGAGTCCAACTCTTGAGTAAATGGCCCACCCAGGCTTGAACCCACACCTTGGTGTTTGTGATGGGCACCTTGCTCTCTAACCAAATGAGATCACCTCAGGGTCAGATAGCAGTAGCGTCACAGGCAGTGGGATGGAAAACCAGGGATTTATCCTTGCTTGTCAAGAGGGAAACCCTCCCAAGAACTGGAAAGCCTTGGACTAGTGAAGAAACACTCCCTGAGGCACAATCTCCCTTTGCAGCCACTCCCACACCTCCTTCACTGCTGTCCCACGTCATTCAGGTACCTTAGGGGACAAAGTAGCCCAAATGTCAGCAGCCTTGGCAGTGAGCTAACCTCATGTCACAGTAGGACACAAAATAAAATGACACACACGTTGGAACTCCAAGGTAAGAAGAAGGGAAGTTTATTTTCTGACTCCAATATTTTTAGACTTTCAAAAGTGAGCCTGGATTGGAGGATGAAATTGCCACCTCTCCAATGACACTGGTCAAACCAACAGTCCATCCATTCTCTCCTCCTCCAGAAAGGAATGCAAAACAATTAATATTTACATAAAAATGTGTGAGAAACTCCGTTCCAAAAATGTAAACATCAGAAGGCTTAGAAGAACTTAGAAGAACAGGGTAACAACCTGATTCCTGCTTCTCCTTCCATCCAGTTAGTTCCTTCTGATGTCCTCAGATCAGTGGCTCCCCTTCCTCAGTCTCCTTTCCTAGGAGGGAAATAAGGACCTAAAGATGCTTTCCTGCTGGGGACACACTTTGGAATTGCAGAGAGAACGGCTACAGTGAGTTCAGCTGGGAAGTCTCACAGGACCTGGCAAGCACAAGGATTGCTAGGAGGGCTGAGCTCCTTCCACAGCAGCCTGTGTGTAAAGCAGAGCTTCACAACCAGAACAGCATGCTCATGATCAAGACTGACGAGGAAGAGATGTCACAGGTACAGTGTGTCACCCTGATTTTTTAAGATTTTCTAAGCCTTCTGATATTTACATTCTTGTAACAAACTTTCTCACACGCTTTCTGTAAACAACTTATTGTTTTGCATTCTTTTATGGAGGAGGAGAAATTTGATGGACTGTTGGTTTGTCCAGTGTCATTGGAGAGGTGGCACTGTCACCTTCCAGTCCACTGTCACTTTTGGAAATCTGTAAATGTTGGAGTCAGAAAATGAACTGCCCCTTTTTTACCTCCAGAACAGCAGCGTGTTTGCATTGTGGTTTTTTGTGTCTTATAGTGACAATGGTGTAGGAATGTGCCCCTTCTTGATGGGGGGGCAAAACTCTCCTTTATCCCCCTAAAAAGGAAAGAAGCCCAGAAGTTTCTCTCCTCAATCAGGTGAAAAGGCATCTCATAGGCCTAAGGGACTCCACCTCAAACTTAAGGACAGCTAATTGGACAGAAGCCAGGAAGTCCCACCTAAGCAATTTGCTAGAAAAAGATGTGAAAAAAGAAACTAATTGCTTTTGTGAAGTGTTTTACCAGGAGCAAAAACCTCTTACACCTGGATCGGTTTTTCTATTTGTTATTTTGCCTTTTATTAAACCTTTTTGTTTCCAACACTGCAACAGAAGCCATGCTGCTGATTTTATGCCTCCAAAGGTAGCTGAGCTATCTT